CTGCTGCACATTAGCGGAGAATAAGTGATCCAGCTGTAGCTCTGTGTCTGTCCCCTCTGCTCCACCTGAAGCAGAGGCGCTGAAATTACTTGTGGATTTGTGGTGAGGTTAATCACCTGATCTATGTTGGTCCCCCTCTTTCCTAATGTAAAGTTTTATTTGGCATTGCCTTCCTGGCTCAGGCGATTTCGGAGCTGGCTCATATAGGAGGCGGTTTACTAAGAGACCAGTCACAAAATGTAGCCGATAGAAATGTTGAGGGAGGAAAATAAAGTTGCTCGATGCCGGTGCAGCTTCTTCTTTTGTGCTGCTGTTACTTCTAGCTGATACTGATACCTGTTACTGCCACAATAATTCTTTGCATTGTGAACATTATTTAGATGTTTCAGGAATAATCAGATTGTTTTGGCAGCCTGGTTTGGTTGGCTACATGTCCATAATAAAAGCACAGGAAACAAAGGTTGGCTGGGCAGCAAAAGTGATACTTTAAAGTGATCTTATAAACACCTCCATGGAGATTTAAAAAGGAAAATAGATAAATTACTTCACTGCATTTGCAGGAATATTTTATAATATATATATATAATAAGTTGCCTGGTCTAATGCAATAGACAGTCCATTTTTACTCTGATAGCCTATCTTGACTTTCCTCATGTGAACACATAAGGGCTGTGATCCTGCACAACAAAACATGCAAGAATTAAATCCACACACTACCATGGATCACTTCCACACGGTGCGGCACGCAGATGGACCACAGATTAATTGCAAAGTTTATGATGATTTATCCTGTTTGACCTCAATCAGGGCCATTAGAGGGGAAAAAGGGGAAAGCTTTCTGGGGCCCAGCTGCTAGGGGGGCCCATACAGTCCCCACTAATGATCAACAAACAAACCAAATTTTATTTTGAATCAAAATACTCACCATTACTTATTAAAATAACAAAAAATTACAATTTATTTAATGTTTCTTTAGTAAAATATAGCCTGTTTCATAATGAAAACCCCCTCTCCTGAAAATGGTATGAGTAATGTTTGTTGTACCCAACATCCGAACATCAAAAGTGAGCCGCATGCGGCAGCCCATGTCTGTGTTTATGTAGGAGATAGAGAGAGAGCACAGCATGCATTGACATGAGTGAAGCAGATTTAGGGAGGGCCCATTAACTGGACCTTTTCAGGGGCCCAGTCATTTTGTGGGCAGGCCTGGAGTCAATTATTATGTGAAGATATGAAGTTTTATGGGCTGGGCTAAGCCCCCAATGTTTCAAGATCCTAAAAACGCCCCTGCTACTTTCTGTGTGTTATGTATGTTTAGTAAACCCTGACTACACTGTCAACATCAGAGTAAGAAACTATGATCATAAATTATTTGTGCAGTTGATATCATTTGAAGTTTCCTGTTTTCAACATGTGTGTTCTCCAAGCCACATAAGTGATATGAGGGCACATTTCCCTACATCTTGTACGTATATATCCACATGAACTGTATGTCTTTCTGTGCGAATGGACACTATTGAATGCAGCTACTGTACATTACATTACACTACACTTTCATCCAAAGCAGCTTACAGTAAGTACATGCAATCCACTAAGGAACTAGAGCTAAATATCGACCAAATGGGAGTGTTTCCCATTTAAACAAATAACTGAAAGCATGTTCAGTGAGCAGTACAAGCGCTTAGAGATGTTTATTTTTCTTGAAAAGTGAGTGCTAGCAAGGGTTGTTTTTATTGATACTCCCGGTCACTGAGAGCTGCCAGATACATTTCGCTATGGCTACAGTGACAAATTAAGTTTCTCTTGATGTAGCCTGAAAGGTGGGGTTTTTAGCCTGCGGCGGAAGATGTGCAGTTATTCTGCTGTCCTGACTCCAGTGGGAAGCGCAGAACTGTGGAGTTAGACCAGAGAAGAGTCTGATGAGATGAGCGACGGCCGGGTATATGATTAGAGTTGTTTGCTTTTTGTTGTTCCAGAAGATTAAAGCCACAGTTGTCTGGACTTGTACTTTAGCCATCTCCCTGTTCGTAGAGTCCTGTCACACACACAAGGTAAAACTCACCAGCTACTCACATTTTCCATTGGTTTCCTGTACCACACCCTCTTACCAAAGCAAACTGTTGTCGTCTCTTTCAGCTGAACATCCACTGGGGTCCACAGTCCATGATGTACTTGAAGGGCAAACGTGAGTTAAAGCACAACGCAGTCTCTCTGCTGTCACGTTGATTAGAAGCAGAACTGGGCTGAACTACATTCATGTGAATCTATCGATCATGTCAACGTTTATCACCCTCCATATAGTCAAATTTCCAAATCTGGTCCAAATGTATTAGTTTGTATCATTATAACAGAGATTATATCTTTTGCCTGGTGCACCAGCTGAACATGCATTTGCTGTTACATCACTGCTAAATGTTGTATTGTTTGGATTTAACCTCTTGGATTTTCCCCTACATTTCCTCCTAAATAGTCTAGTTTATAATAAACTTCTAATTCTTCTTCTTTGTGAGGTTCTTCTTTGGTAACCCATTTTTCATGTTGTCAGTGTACTTATATACTGTTCCCTTTTCCCAACACATTTACAGAATGATAACACTTTGTCATACTGTTACTGGCTGTTAAAAATGTCTTATCCAAAGCACTTTTAGTCAATTTTGTCTGCAACATGCTGGCTTGACTGTTTCTTGCCCAAGGACACTTTGACATGTGAACAGGAGGAGCTGGAGATAGATCAGTGCACGACCCGCTCATCCTCTATGGAAACCCCTTATGAATGTGGATCCAATTCTGATGTGTTATTACAATTAATAGCTGCAGATCTGGTAAAGCACCAGAACAAATGATCAGTTGTACCACAGATCTGTAATAAATCATCAGTCAGAGTGGGAACAAATCTTTGTAGTAGAACTGGACTACAGTAAAAGAACTATCCTTCAGAATCAGGTATTTAAGCTAAAATCAGTTTAACCCTGTTCCCTGCTGTTCTTGTCTTCAGATGGCAGGAGGTTTGTGTCAGAGGATGACAACAGTGTTTTGAAGCAGGGTCTGCAGGGCTGGTATGCAGTGCTCAGAGGTACAGTATGACTTAACTTCATCTCAGTCTGTCATTTCAGACTAACTGGCTTTTTCCCCCTTTAAGCCTCACACAGTTGTTTCACAAAGAATCAACACTTGTTGACATTCGTAATCAATTAAACTCTGCAGCTCTACTGGCTATTTTTCAGCATATTTACTATAAGGTTCAGTCTGAGTACTCTCTCCAGCAGCAGGCAGCTGTTTTTACTGCAGTTAAAGCCGCTTTACACGACCTGCTCAGCAGCTAACAGCAGACTAAAGAGACAGATATTTCCCTCAGGAGGTGGTGGAGACCAAAGCAGAGAATCTTGGAAACAAACATGACTCCAAATGAACGCCAAGGTGTGTGTCTGTCTACTTCTGGTGTTATTCTGCCCCCTAAAGGACAATGATTGAGTAGTGCAGCTTAAACAACAGCTTAATATGAAAACGCTTTATTCTGAATGCCACTTTTGGAGCATCATAGTCATTAATTATAACAGGCAGTGTGATTTACACCTGCACCAAGTGATCAGTGATCAAAAGAGACCCTGCACCAGCAGAACAACTAGGCCCTTAATAGGCGGGTTTCACAAAGATAGACCTGCACAAAGCTGTCTGATTACGTACGGCTCAGTGCCAGGTTACTGCACTCTCTAAACTCTTTCTCTTTTCATTCCCCGCCCAGCATCATTGTTAGCAATCCACAAATTATGAGCCATGTTATCCTCTTTTGTGTCATTTGCTGCCACTGATCAGCAGATGTCACTGATTGTTACCATGGAAACACTGGTCTGGCATATGATGCCCCCTCGAAACACCTGGAGAGGCTCTTCACATGGAAAAACAGGACCTATTTATTACATACCCCAAAAGTGACTCTAAACTGAAATAGCCTGTCAGACAAACAGCAACGGCCAGTCAGGAGGAACAATGCAGGTGATGCTTGCCATGAATCAGATTGTGTGACTACTTAAGTTTCTACAATTCCATGATCTGTAAATTGTGTAAAAAGTTACTGGAGAATGAATTTAGACATGGCATCAATACATTTAATGTTATACAGTGTTTGAAACAACAAGGTCGTCTTCAGGCAAACATGACGCTGCATTAATAAAAAGATCTGGGAGCTTGCAAAGTTCAGTGGCAGACTACCTCTCCTCCTTTGTTTGCTGTTTTTTGTATTGCATATTGTCCTGGCGTTGGATTTGCACACTGTCCATCTTTTTTCTTTTCATATGCGATAATGTGCCATCGTAGGTATAATAATTTATCATAGCATGTCCAGATCCATCAGGAGCCATTATGAAAATCACTATTTATTATAAGTGCATTTGAGTTAGCATTATGCTTCAAAGCTATGTTACAGTGATTCTTAACCCCTATGAAAACATTTATTATGGAGCCATTATGCAGCTAATGACATACTGTAATGCAATGTAATATTCTTGTCTCGTGATTATAGGTTCACCGTGTGTTTCACATTTGGCTGAGTGATGCATGTGACATCATCTATTTTTGAATTCTGTGATCTAAAAGAGTAAACTGATGGGCATGAGAAAGTCAGGTTTGTGATTTTATTTTTGACATGGGCCTACTCTTGTGTGCAGGCATCCAGCGACTGCAGTCTCAGGAGTTCAGTAAACCCAGTCACATCATGAGCTCAGAGAAAGTCCTGATCCACGTCCTCCAGGAGAGATGAGACAGACTGTGTCAGAATGTAAACTAAGTAAACTAAACTAACAATTCACTGAGAACATAATAACAAAGACTTCAGTTCACAGCAGTCAGGGTCCTATTGTACGTGACAGGCACAAGTGGTGCTGCAACTCAGCCAGAACATCGGCAAGTTATCATGAAAGCTCTTGTGATGTTGTTACAGTATATGAATATTTAAATATGAAATATAAATATTTCACTCAGTTTTACAAAATTACTCAGTGAATTGTTATGTTTGACTCTTTGTATTTTTCACGTATGAATAATATACGTGTCCTCTGTACAGATATCTGCTTGCTGTATATAAAGCAACATAAAAATACAAAATGCTCTGAATAAATGAAGAAGATGGTCTTTACATCTTTTTTGTCTCGAACTTTCTGTCTCCATTGTGTCCTTTTGACCACCAGAGGGTAGCAGTCCATAATAGAAAGCCTGAATGTTGCACAGTATTCTCCAGAGGTGTTTTTACTCTGAGGAAAACAGTGAAGTAAAATTACTAGAGACATCAAAACTCTCAGCAGCTGGATCAAATATCATTGACCAGCAGCCTGCTGATATTCATTACAACACGCCTGGTTTGTGACTGCTGACTGAGACTTTTATCTTATCTGATTAGATGTAGGGAAGTATTAAATAAGCAAATCTTATTTGCTCAGTCTGACTAGTTACCATTAGAGCTAAACAAATTTGTTATAAAGCCCTAATGAATATTATCAGACTCACATGATGACAATACAACGCAAATTTGTGGTAAATTAATTACAAAACAATTTTTTGAAGCATTATTTTAACTGAAAGTAAGCTAAATGAATATGGGATACATATATATTGTCTTATATTAAAAAAAGTTTCTGTCATTTCTTTTTCACTTTGATAACTGATGATCATAGACCTAAAAACCCAGTTGCATTAGATGCCAGAACAGAGCAGTGACACAGAAGGACACAAAAAGTGAGCATGGTTTGTTGGGGGTATGGATATGACGCTGACCCAGGGCTTCACATCTCGTTGCATGCACATTTTTGTACTTAATATTTCCGAGTTTTTAATCTACATATGTTTATGTTTGTTGTGACATCTGGAACTTTTATTTGCTGGTAATTATAAATATTGAACTTTTAACGATTTGGATAGCACTCTACCTGGCATTTTCTATGATCCCAGGAAGTCTTGGACTAAATGGTGAAGGCCGAGACCGGCTTGTATATACAAGGGAACACCTGCTGACATTGAAGGCTCGAGATAGAGCTTTTGAGTCTCCACTGCCAAATGACCAAAGAAAGCAAAGAACAAGCTAAAGAAACAGCGTTCAAGAGGAGTCGCAGTTTCCCCTACCTCAAATTATACTCTCAAAAGTACGCTCCCTCCACAATAAATTGGATAAGTTAATCAGAATCAGCTTTATTGCCAATTTGACTCTGGATTATACAATGAGCAGCAATGCAATGAGCAGAGTGCAAAGGATGCAGGAGGAAATTATTATTACCATTATTGTTATTATTATGTACATGTCGGAGGTGGATGTGATATGCAGGTGCACATACACATACAAGCATGCATGCATACATGTACATATGTACACAGTGTGATGAGTGCAAAGAATGCTGGAATAAATAAGTATTATGTGCGGTGTTATGTACATGCGGTAGGTGGATTTGGTGTACAAGTTAATGCTATACGAGTTAATGCTAAGAGTGGGGTATGAAGGGGACTTATATCTTATCTCTTGTCCACAGAAGCAATCAATCAATCTGATTCCAAACACTAAACTAAGGCCAAGACCAAAGAGCTGTCCATGGATGTCAGGGACAAGATTGTAGACCTTCACAAGGCTGGAATGGGCTATAAGACCATCGCCAAGCAGCTCGGTGAGACAATGGAATTAACACAAAGAACTGTCAGTCTCTCTCGGCCTATAGGATCTCACCTCATGGAGTTGCAATGATCATGAGAACGGTGAGGAATCAGTCCAGAACTTCACGGGAGGATTCTGTCAATGATTTCAAGGCAGCTGGGATGGTTGACGGGGCCATGTACCGTCAAATCTTGTGTGAGAATCTCCTTCCAGCCAGAGCATTGAAAATTGGTTGTGGATGGGTATTTCAGCATGACAATGACCCAAAACACATGGCAGAGGTTTCAAAGGAGTAGCTCAAGAAAACGCACATTAAGTATATAGTATATAGTCACCAGACCTTAACAACATAGTAAGCCTGTGGAAGGAGATGAAGGTTAGAGTTGCCAAGCATCAGCATCAAAACTTTAATGACTTGGCGAAGATCTGTAAAGAGAAGTGGAACAAAATCCCTCCTTAGATGTGTGCTGTCATGGAAATTATATTCCCGGTGAGGGGCTGAGCAAATAATTGAGTAACAACCAACCGTTGTCTTTGAAGAATTTATTTAACAAAAGAGAATAAACAGAAGTACTACAACACAAATCAGCCGGACCAGAGGTTCTGTCTCCTAAGACAGTCACTAACGTCTGGCCCCGAGCAAAGGGATGCATCATCATTTACACAGTCTAGGTTTCTATGTTTTGGCGAACAGAGATCCTCTCTCGGCCTTGAATGAACATTCCAGGAGAGGAGAGGAACAACAAGAGAGGAAAACACCAAAACAACACAGCTCGGACCTAAACCCTAGTAAATGTGGACAGACGTATAGAAGAATAGGAGAGGAAAGGTTAAGGATAAAACACAATACATAATAATAATAATAATAATAATAATAATAGTAAAAGAAGAACATACATAAAAGATTAAATGTAAGAGGACACAATTTTCTGCCATAACATGTGCAAACCTGGTGACCAACTACAAGAAAACAAAACCAAACACGGGTTTTGCCCCCAAGTATTAAGTCACCGTTCAGCTAAACCTACCATTAAAATTATAGACTGATCATTTGTTTGTCAATGAGCAAACGTACAAAATCAGCAGGAGATTAATTTTTCCCCTCACTGTATGTCGGCTGTCCAGCGTGCCAGTTGCGAATCCTCAATCAGTGTCATTGTAATGTGCCTGAGGCATACAAAGCGTCTCTACCTCTTGGTAATTCGGATCGCAATGTTGTACAGTTGTAAAGCCAAGTTGACATACAGTTTTTTAACAACTGCTCAGGCACATTTTCAAAAGTCTCTCCATCAACACAACTCCACACCAGCTCTCCCTATGACAGAGAACTCCTTTACTATCATGAGTCCCTCCAAACTTGATCATTTTGTTGACAGTGACACTGCGAATGACACTTGACTCCATTTCCCCGCTTAAAAAGAGAATAATTGCACAAAGAAAGCAAGCACCTTGGTATAACTCACAAACGTAGACTGAAGCTTATATCACGGAGGCTTGGGGAAAAAAATGGCGTTCCACTAGCCAAGAAGAATTACACTTAACATGGCAGGAAAGTCTCAGAACTTACAGAAAGGCCCTCCGTGCAGCAAGCTTACTTTTCATCGTTCATTAGTTGAGGAGAACAAGGACAACCCCAGGTTTCTCTTCAGCACAGCAGCCAGGCTAACAGGGAGTCGCACCTCCACTGAGCCTTGTATTCCTGCTAGCATCAGCAGTGATGATTTTATGAGCTTCTTTAGAGAGAAAACTCTAATTATCAGAGACAAAATTCATCAGCTCCT